CATTATGGTATCATATAGACATTTCTGTGGTTAGATACCAGAAAGCTGTTATTGGGTGATACCGAATACTAAAACATTCAAATAAAAAAATTGAACTGAAAGCTAAATATTTTGAGGTTTTATTTAAAATAATATAACAACTAATGGATGATTCTAAAAGCTGAAAAGTGAAAAGATATCTTTCAAGCCTGATGGAGGATGCTAAGCTGAAAGCACAAGTGTGACTTAACAGGGTCTTGACACTCAGTCAACTTTTCTAAATCCTTTATGACCCAGGTTGTCATAAGTCTAGATGCTTTTACTTAATTCTATTCTAGAAATGTCAACAATCATCTTCAAATAAGTTTTCACATTGAGTATTACTGTTATTTGTAGTAGATCATGGCCTAGCAGCAACAATAAAATCAGGATGCAGCTACAATATCTAGATTAGGAAAGATGCATCCAGATGTGCAGTGGATGAAAGTGAGGTATGATCAGGGTTGACTGCTCCAAACCCCTCCAGCTGCTCACTGAAACACCCTTGCAGAGGAAAATGCCTCTTCAGATCTACTGACATAATTTCATATATTTATTACAATAAGTAGGTCATGCTCGCTACATTTTAATATATTTTGTAGCTGACAATGTTATTTCAGAACCCTAAGTGATATAATAGAGATTTAATTACTGTATAACATCTCATTCCAATTTACTTTCTACAGAAAATATTATTTTATATTCATTATTATTTGTGCATTTCACTTGATATATAATGCTATAAATTGTATGGAACCCATTTATATTTTCCCAGCTTACAACTGACAAACAATCAACAAAGATCCTTGTCATAATTCACAATATCATAATAATTTTCAGGGACTTTGGAAGATAATATAATCCATTTTCAATTTTATTTTTGCTGCCTGAAAAGATGTAGAACTAAATACAGCGTCACCAGCTGAGTACTTAAGATTTCATGCTCAACTTTTTCAGCCAAATATTTCAAATACATTGATATATTTAAGGAAAAATACTGCATTCTAGGTGGTGTTCCGGTGTAAATATATTTTAAAATGTATTTGATAAGCTACCAGTTAGGATTAATGTTAATCCTGACACAGGAAATATATTTCTGTTTATACATTATTAATTCCATCACTTTCTGGCATCCATACTCCTCTGTACTCAAATGGAGCCTCAATATCATTACTGGGAATACTAATACTACCGCTAATTTTTTTTTTTTTCTAGTGAATGATTCTTCAACAAGAAAGGCTCCATTAAGGCCAGAGAAGGAAAATTTACACAGATGTATAAATTATTCTATGGGGAAAATGTCTCCAGAAGGACTCCTCAGTGAGCAATCCTGAACTGTGAGAACAAAAGGGACTAACTGAGCATGGGGTGGGAACTTTAGTGTAATCACTTTCCATTTGATCTTCAGTTGTTGTTTAAACCTAAATGCAACAGAGGCCCCGCAGCATACGAACAACAACTATTTTGACCAACATAACATAAAGTTTTAGTCCGGAGTTCCAGCTGGCAAAAGGATTTTTTTTTTCCCCTTCACCATTTATCAGCACAATTCAAGAGCACACCAGGCAAGATAATTGGCAGTAAATGCTCAAGAGAGACCTTGGATCAGACAAACAGGGCTGAACAGTAGGGGCTGACAAGCATTTGCCAATAATTTCCAACCTCCACAGCTGAGCAGTGTATTACTGGTCTCTGTTTCAGGAGGAGAAAAAAAAAAGGCTCTGTCACGTGGTGTGAAAAAGGTATTTAATCATTGTGGGCCTCAGAGCAGCCTCTTGATTCAATGCGATGCTTACAGAGAACGACAGTAATATTCTGCTAGTTAAGGACACTCCTACTAAACACCTGGCCCAGGCAATGTCCCGTGGCTTTCAGGATCTCACACGCAGTGAGACAATCATTCTTCCCAAGTGAAGATGCCTGGAAGCGAATGTTTCCTGAACTAGACATTGCTTTATAGAGCCCATCAAAACTTTACTGGGGAGAAGAGTTACAGCACTGCAGACCAGGTCACTTGATCCCCCAAAGGGTTGAAAGAAGAGTTACCAGAGGATTCTCCTGCCACCTACCCACCAGAAGACCAACAGCCAGAAGAAAATCTATGCCTCTGCAGCCAAATAGAATCAGCCCTTGAGCTGCTGTTACTGAAATGTTTGTTTGCATGGATGTATGCCAAACAGTTTAACACACAGCATTTATTGTCTCTGCCAGATGAAAGTGTCCTTATGTAAAGTTTACCATTTGCCTTGGGAGGACTGAAGCCTTTCTTAATAGAAAAGGTTGTTAATTCAGGAACTTACTAATCTTTCTTCAAAAGATTATTTACATCTCAAACAAGACTACCACCCAATAAATATGTATGTCTTGTATTTTATCAAGCCATTCATAACACATGGTCCCAAGACAAGGGCATCATTAGAGGCCTCAAGCCTTTTGAAGACACTGAGATGCTCCTGCATCAAGGTCATGCTTGTGGGTATGAAGTGTATGTGTGAGAGAATGCTTCTCCCCCGTCCTTCTCAAGGAGGATTTCGAAATCAGATTAACTCCATAGCAGGGCAGTTTTGGCAATGAGTCACCACTTATATTATAAATCCACAGCCCTTCACAGATTATAAACTTCAGGCAGAGCCTACAGGTGGTCTGCATACAGATCTTACTGACTTCATATTCTTGTAGTGGCTTCCCTGCCATGGTCTTTATTCCCAATTCTTTGGCCAATCCTTATTCTCAGCCTTTCCAAGTCTCCATGTACAACCCCATCTCTTGTAAACAAGAATTTGAGATACTGTCATTTTCATAGAACCTAGCTCCTTTTTCTCTTTCCAGACACTAGCTTTTTTCCTGTCTTCATCCCAACTTCAAGTTCTGTGAAACAGCTGCTGATAATAAGCTCCCAAATCTTACTACTAATGATAGTTTCAACATTAGTAATAATGAAAAACAATCTAATTTCTACTCCTGGAACTTCAGCAGAACTACTCTCACAACACCTACAAAAAAGCACCTTTAGCCCATATGTCAAGTTTCATTCTAATCTGATCTTTGATCTGTCCACTGTGATCAAATTCCTGATTATTTTCCCCTGGTGTCTGCTACTATGTTTTGATGGTCTCATTCTAGCACAGACAATGCTTCAAAGCGAATTTTGTTCTTTTAGTCGGCAAAGGCATCTGAGCTTAAATGATTTATATGTCATACTGTAATGTCCCACAATATATTTCAAAATGTCAGAAATTTAGACATTTTTGAACCAAGGAATGTGGATGCAAGTGCTGAGCATGCACAAGTTACTGGAAAAGGAATCAATCAGGTTTAGCCAATATTACAAGCTACATTTGATGTCATTTGAGAAACAAAAAGACTCAATTTTGAATGCTCACACTCACCTTCCCTGACTTTGGTACCTCCAAGAACTATCGCAGAGATGCCAACAGATGAGGACAACAGCCAGATACAGATGTTGATAATCTTCGCCTTGAGAGGTGTACGGAAGTCCAGAGCCTTCACAGGGTGACAGACAGCAATGTATCGATCAACACTCATCATGGTCAGTGTGAATATGCTGGTAAACATGTTATAATAGTCAATTGAAATAACTATTTTACACAGCACATCACCAAAGGGCCAAGAGTTCATCAGGTACTCAGTGCTTTGGAATGGCATAGTCGTGGTAACTAACGCATCTGCCATAGCCAGATTGAAAATGTAGATGTTGGTTGCTGTCTTCATCTTTGTGTACCTGAAGAACAAAAAAAAAAAGTAAGGTTTTATTATTTAAAAATATGATTATGCACATTCAAATATGTAACAGTTTATCAGTCAGGCTTTTCCCTAGTTGGGTTTTTTTCTGTCATTTTTAATTTATGACAGAAGTGCAGACAAATGCAAGACTCTTGTGATAATAGCAAATACATTTGATTCAATCTCTCAGCACCTGCATTAGCAGCTAGAACTATTCACCACAGGCAAAACCAGGTATATGCATACATTTAATCTCATTAGCCAAATGCTGATTTCAATTCTATCTTCACAAACCCTTCTACAAGAAAATATCTTGGTTACATTTGCAAGTGATCAAAATGTTTTGTGTTTCCTTTTCTTATAGCTAACTGCCAGTGATCATGACCTTTCTGGGTTTGTTTTGTAGAAGGACTAGTTATTCCATTCTCCAGTTAGAATCCATGTTAACTGTTGCATCTGTTGAGCCAGATTGCCTCTTTTATGAAAGTTTATCTTCCTTGAATTCACTGCAACAATGTCAGCTTATAGAATTTTTAGTCATTTCCCTTCTTTGCTCTTTCATTTCCAGTTTCTCCTCCTTTCTTATCCTCAGCTTTTCCCAGTCCTTGCTGTTGTGACTGCTAATGTAAAAGAGGACTACTGTTTAAACAGGATACCACAGTGGGGGAAAAAAAATGGTTGTAGCATTTTTTCTGCATCCTTTAATTTCATGAAAATGAAACACTGCTTTTGTCCAGCTGGTAAAAACCTCAGCCTAGACCGAAGAACACAGCATTTCCAAAAGAACTGTACTGCCAGCTACAAGAACAAATCTCATAATTTATACTTCTGTGCATAAAGGATTTTTGGTCCAGTAGGACCAAACTAGACTGTGTTTCTGAGAAATTTGCCCTGCAAGGAAGGCCCCCACCTTATTCATGATTTTGTATATAGAACAAAGTCACCAGGAAGATGTCTGGTGACCAGATCTGTTCCCAGTGAAGACAATGAGAGCATTCCTTCAAACTTCAGCAATAGTAGAAGTGGGGTTAGTAATATGTAACAACAGGAAGACAAAAGACTACAGACTGAAAGTTAGGCTCAGTTTTACCAGAAACTTACCTTCAGCAAGACAGCAAGTTGTGTAGCTGTGCCTTGGCATCTCCATCTTCACAGGAAAACAGAGGAATATACTGAATTCATGGGACTATCAAAGAAAATGTATCATCATCAACAAAATGAGAACTTTTATAGTCAAGTGCCATTAAATCATCCAGTATATTTAATCTTCATTTCTTTTGTATCAATCCAGTTAATCCATGTTCTAATTCACTAGCTTCTAGTTCGTCAAATATTTATTTTAGTCTGCTTACAAATTGTCCAGGAAAACAAGCACAGCATTATCGTTTGTCCCCTTTACTGAAAATGGACTGTGATACTTTCTCCCCACGTAATGAATGTGGCATGGGTTTTCATCAGTTTTGTAACATGTGAAGTATTTGAAGTTTTCCTAGCCTCTTATTCAAAATACACTCTGAAAATGCATATTATATTATTCACAATCAATAAATACACAATCATCTTGGAAAATCACACATAGAAAACATTACACACAGGTGATTAAACATGTGCTAAAAATATACTAACAATTCTCCTCAAATCCCAATATTTTAAATGCCAAAATGCTTTACCATACACGGACAATAAATTCACTTTGGTATGTAGGCAGATCATGCTTAAGTTGGATTTTCACAGCACAGACAAATGTTACAGATATATTAGTTGAGGACAATATTGATTATAGCTCTGGCATTGTTCTGCAGAAACCTAAACAACACTCTACCCTTTAAAGAGTATGACAAACCCAAGTTGTCAGAAGCCATCACTGTTGGGGCAAAACTGTGTTTCCAGCATAACTCAGTGTTATGACTGAGTGTTGCTTAATATAGCCTTACATGTTGTAAAAAGAAAACCCAGAGCTTTCTTTATCCAGAGTCAGATGGTACAACACTATCTCCTGTCTTCCCAAAAGTCTATATAAGTACCTGCTCAAGTACAGCAAACATGGTGCCAAAACCTGACCATCAGCCAGGTCCTTTTCATTTGAGCTTATTTTCAAGAGGTTCTTGTTTGTCAATAATTAATTTGCTTTAGTTCAAACAATTGGGATTCCTGAAATATTCCAGAAATGTCTGTCTGGGTGAGTCAAGTTCAAACTGCGGTGGTAATCTGTGTCAGTCCTAGGTCGTTGGACTCTTCTCTCTCTGGAGGACAGTAAGACGACATTTCCACGACTAGTCATACAGGTTTATTCGTCCCATCTCCTTCCCTCATATAAGTTGGGTCTTGCACAGTGTTTCTGACTCTGCTGGTGCTCTGCCTGTCCATCCTCATCTTAAAGGGGAAGCAGAAGTCCTTGAAACACCTCTTGAAGTTTTCATCCAAAAAAGCGTAGAGGATTGGATTGAGGCTGCTGTTGGTGTAACCCAGAGCGATGCAGAAGTAATAGCTGGAAATAGCAGCAGTACTGTGGGACACATCTCCTAAGGCTTCAACCAGCACAAAAATGTGAATAGGAGTCCAACAGATAATAAAAACTGCCACAACCACAAGAACCAACCTGGTGATGCGGCGCAGGTTTCGATCTTTTTCTCGAGACCCTGAGAGAAGCCGCACGCTTTTAAGGCGCAGGATCATCAGAGTATAGCAAACAATTATAATGAGAACTGGAATAACAAAAGCGAAGACAAAGACACAGATTTTCATGAAGATGTCCCACCACACGTAATCTCTGTCTGGAAATTGCAAGGAGCATTCAGTGCTTGCAGTATCTAGGAATGAAAGAGGTAAGAAGAAAATTGTTTTATTATTCGATATTCTAAACAATGTAATAATCGTAGCATAAGTTAGGAAAAGTGATTATCATGTAATATGATATTAATAAATGGAGTTATCATTAAATCATTTGAAGGAAAGCTTTCAATTACCATTGAAACTGCTTTTATGCAGTTGCAGAAATAAATTAGAGAGATAGGGACTTTTTAAAATGCATAACTTTATATAAAAAATTTTTCCCATGGGAGGATCTAAAACCACAGAGCACAAAAATAAAAATTTGTAATGTTTCCATTTGAATCTCACTGAAATTTAAAGCCGGAATGAGTACTATGTTCAATGGAGTAGATGTCTAGTAATTATTATCAAACTACATATGGTTTCGTCTGTGGGTGGAGACAGATTTTTGGTATCACGAATGGTGGTAGCTGAATGAGGTTTTGATTGTAGGAAGACTTTGCCAATATATGATAAATGTGTAATAATCTTTTCCCGCATGCCTTCTTCAGTGCGAATGGAATACGCAGAAGTGCTTGCATTCAGAAAAACTTATTTTCTAGCAACAGCTTCTTTTCAGTTAAATAGAAGCAAATAAAATATGTATGTGTATGTGTGAAGAGTCAAATGGAAGCTGCTCTTTTTGTAGATCAAGTCACTGAAAATTCAGGCTGCGCAGAGACTGCAGGATCTGGGCCCCTGACACCAGCCCCTTCCCTTTCTGATTGCCCAAGCCAGGATTCACCGGCTGTCACTTGATTTTATGTCCCTGAAATATTTCATCTGGCAGGAGGCTACTAAGGAATGAAATATTGAAGGTTTCACTTGCTGACCTCATTGGAGCCTTCCAGCATATAAACCATACGGAAAACAAAGAAAGAAGATAAATGGCAAGTCAAGAGAAGGTATAAATTTTAAACTAATATCAGCAGTTAAACTCTACTGAAGACAAGTCAAGGTAACACAGGGATTTTTCACTCTGAATTGTAGCTCAGATTTTATCCTTTTGAGCACTGCATTATTCTTTGGTTGTTTTTTTTTTCAGTTTCCCTACTGAATTTGTCATTCCTCAACAAATTATCATGTATTGGCTTTTATTGAATCAGATCTAAGGGTGGAATGATTCAGTATACTCTTGCACAACACTTTTTCATATCTGCCTCCAGCAGAGCTGGTCAGTAAAATTCCATCAAACCGTATTTCCCTGCTAACAAAATACTTCACAAGTCCAGATGAGATTGCAGAGAATTTGTTTTGAAAAACAACTAGGGGAGGAAGCCATCATTATGGTATCATATAGACATTTCTGTGGTTAGATACCAGAAAGCTGTTATTGGGTGATACCGAATACTAAAACATTCAAATAAAAAAATTGAACTGAAAGCTAAATATTTTGAGGTTTTATTTAAAATAATATAACAAATAATGGATGATTATAAAAGCTGAAAAGTGAAAAGATATCTTTCAAGCCTGATGGAGGATGCTAAGCTGAAAGCACAAGTGTGACTTAACAGGGTCTTGACACTCAGTCAACTTTTCTAAATCCTTTATGACCCAGGTTGTCATAAGTCTAGATGCTTTTACTTAATTCTATTCTAGAAATGTCAACAATCATCTTCAAATAAGTTTTCACATTGAGTATTACTGTTATTTGTAGTAGATCATGGCCTAGCAGCAACAATAAAATCAGGATGCAGCTACAATATCTAGATTAGGAAAGATGCATCCAGATGTGCAGTGGATGAAAGTGAGGTATGATCAGGGTTGACTGCTCCAAACCCCTCCAGCTGCTCACTGAAACACCCTTGCAGAGGAAAATGCCTCTTCAGATCTACTGACATAATTTCATATATTTATTACAATAAGTAGGTCATGCTCGCTACATTTTAATATATTTTGTAGCTGACAATGTTATTTCAGAACCCTAAGTGATATAATAGAGATTTAATTACTGTATAACATCTCATTCCAATTTACTTTCTACAGAAAATATTATTTTATATTCATTATTATTTGTGCATTTCACTTGATATATAATGCTATAAATTGTATGGAACCCATTTATATTTTCCCAGCTTACAACTGACAAACAATCAACAAAGATCCTTGTCATAATTCACAATATCATAATAATTTTCAGGAAATTTGGAAGATAATATAATCCAGTTTCAATTTTATTTTTGCTGCCTGAAAAGATGTAGAACCAAGTACCAGCTGAGTACCCAAGATTTCATACTGAACTTTTTCAGCCAAATATTTCAAATATATTGATATATTTAAGGAAAAATACTGCATTCTAGGTGGTGTTCCAGTGGAAATATATTTTAAAATGTATTTGATAAGCTACCAGTTAGGATTAATGTTAATTCTGACACAGGAAATATATTTCTGTTTATACATTATTAATTCCATCACTTTCTGGCATCCATACTCCTCTGTACTCAAATGGAGCCTCAATATCATTACTGGGAATACTAATACTACCGCTAATTTTTTTTTTTTTCTAGTGAATGATTCTTCAACAAGAAAGGCTCCATTAAGGCCAGAGAAGGAAAATTTACACAGATGTATAAATTATTCTACGGGGAAAATGTCTCCAGAAGGACTCCTCAGTGAGCAATCCTGAACTGTGAGAACAAAAGGGACTAACTGAGCATGGGGTGGGAACTTTAGTGTAATCACTTTCCATTTGATGTTCAGTTGTTGTTTAAACCTAAAAGCAACAGAGACCCTGCAGCATACGAACAACAACTATTTTGACCAACATAACATAAAGTTTCAGTCCGGAGTTCCAGCTGGCAAAAGGATATTTTTTTTCCCCTTCACCATTTATCAGCACAATTCAAGAGCACACCAGGCAAGATAATTGGCAGTAAATGCTCAAGAGAGACCTTGGATCAGACAAACAGGGCTGAACAGTAGGGGCTGACAAGCATTTGCCAATAATTTCCAACCTCCACAGCTGAGCAGTGTATTACTGGTCTCTGTTTCAGGAGGAGAAAAAAAAAAGGCTCTGTCACGTGGTGTGAAAAAGGTATTTAATCATTGCAGGCCTCAGAGCAGCCTCTTGATTCACTGCGATGCTTACAGCGAACAACAGTAATGCACCTGGCCCAGGCAACGTCCCGTGGCTTTCAGGATCTCACACGCAGTGAGACAATCATTCTTCCCAAGTGAAGATGCCTGGAAGTGAATGTTTCCTGAACTAGACATTGCTTTATAGAGCCTGTCAAAACTTTACTGGGGAGAAGAGTTACAGCACTGCAGACCAGGTCACTTGATCCCCCAAAGGGTTGAAAGAAGAGTTACCAGAGGATTCTCCTGCCACCTACCCACCAGAAGACCAACAGCCAGAAGAAAATCTATGCCTCTGCAGCCAAATAGAATCAGCCCTTGAGCTGCTGTTACTGAAATGTTTGTTTGCATGGATGTATGCCAAACAGTTTAACACACAGCATTTATTGTCTCTGCCAGATGAAAGTGTCCTTATGTAAAGTTTACCATTTGCCTTGGGAGGACTGAAGCCTTTCTTAATAGAAAAGGTTGTTAATTCAGGAACTTACTAATCTTTCTTCAAAAGATTATTTACATCTCAAACAAGACTACCACCCAATAAATATGTATGTCTTGTATTTTATCAAGCCATTCATAACACATGGTCCCAAGACAAGGGCATCATTAGAGGCCTCAAGCCTTTTGAAGACACTGAGATGCTCCTGCATCAAGGTCATGCTTGTGGGTATGAAGTGTATGTGTGAGAGAATGCTTCTCCCCCGTCCTTCTCAAGGAGGATTTCGAAATCAGATTAACTCCATAGCAGGGCAGTTTTGGCAATGAGTCACCACTTATATTATAAATCCACAGCCCTTCACAGATTATAAACTTCAGGCAGAGCCTACAGGTGGTCTGCATACAGATCTTACTGACTTCATATTCTTGTAGTGGCTTCCCTGCCATGGTCTTTATTCCCAATTCTTTGGCCAATCCTTATTCTCAGCCTTTCCAAGTCTCCATGTACAACCCCATCTCTTGTAAACAAGAATTTGAGATACTGTCATTTTCATAGAACCTAGCTCCTTTTTCTCTTTCCAGACACTAGCTTTTTTCCTGTCTTCATCCCAACTTCAAGTTCTGTGAAACAGCTGCTGATAATAAGCTCCCAAATCTTACTACTAATGATAGTTTCAACATTAGTAATAATGAAAAACAATCTAATTTCTACTCCTGGAACTTCAGCAGAACTACTCTCACAACACCTACAAAAAAGCACCTTTAGCCCATATGTCAAGTTTCATTCTAATCTGATCTTTGATCTGTCCACTGTGATCAAATTCCTGATTATTTTCCCCTGGTGTCTGCTACTATGTTTTGATGGTCTCATTCTAGCACAGACAATGCTTCAAAGCGAATTTTGTTCTTTTAGTCGGCAAAGGCATCTGAGCTTAAATGATTTATATGTCATACTGTAATGTCCCACAATATATTTCAAAATGTCAGAAATTTAGACATTTTTGAACCAAGGAATGTGGATGCAAGTGCTGAGCATGCACAAGTTACTGGAAAAGGAATCAATCAGGTTTAGCCAATATTACAAGCTACATTTGATGTCATTTGAGAAACAAAAAGACTCAATTTTGAATGCTCACACTCACCTTCCCTGACTTTGGTACCTCCAAGAACTATCGCAGAGATGCCAACAGAGGAGGACAACAGCCAGATACAGATGTTGATAATCTTCGCCTTGAGAGGTGTACGGAAGTCCAGAGCCTTCACAGGGTGACAGACAGCAATGTATCGATCAACACTCATCATGGTCAGTGTGAATATGCTGGTAAACATGTTATAATAGTCAATTGAAATAACTATTTTACACAGCACATCACCAAAGGGCCAAGAGTTCATCAGGTACTCAGTGCTTTGGAATGGCATAGTCGTGGTAACTAACGCATCTGCCATAGCCAGATTGAAAATGTAGATGTTGGTTGCTGTCTTCATCTTTGTGTACCTGAAGAACAAAAAAAAAAAGTAAGGTTTTATTATTTAAAAATATGATTATGCACATTCAAATATGTAACAGTTTATCAGTCAGGCTTTTCCCTAGTTGGGTTTTTTTCTGTCATTTTTAATTTATGACAGAAGTGCAGACAAATGCAAGACTCTTGTGATAATAGCAAATACATTTGATTCAATCTCTCAGCACCTGCATTAGCAGCTAGAACTATTCACCACAGGCAAAACCAGGTATATGCATACATTTAATCTCATTAGCCAAATGCTGATTTCAATTCTATCTTCACAAACCCTTCTACAAGAAAATATCTTGGTTACATTTGCAAGTGATCAAAATGTTTTGTGTTTCCTTTTCTTATAGCTAACTGCCAGTGATCATGACCTTTCTGGGTTTGTTTTGTAGAAGGACTAGTTATTCCATTCTCCAGTTAGAATCCATGTTAACTGTTGCATCTGTTGAGCCAGATTGCCTCTTTTATGAAAGTTTATCTTCCTTGAATTCACTGCAACAATGTCAGCTTATAGAATTTTTAGTCATTTCCCTTCTTTGCTCTTTCATTTCCAGTTTCTCCTCCTTTCTTATCCTCAGCTTTTCCCAGTCCTTGCTGTTGTGACTGCTAATGTAAAAGAGGACTACTGTTTAAACAGGATACCACAGTGGGGGAAAAAAAATGGTTGTAGCATTTTTTCTGCATCCTTTAATTTCATGAAAATGAAACACTGCTTTTGTCCAGCTGGTAAAAACCTCAGCCTAGACCGAAGAACAGGATCTGGTTTTTTTGAGACAGAAAAAACTAGCAATCTGTTTTTTCTGTGCCCCTGTGACTCTGGGGCACAGCCCATGTCCCACAGCATGGAGGACTGCTTCCAGCTCAGCTACAGACACAATGGATGAAGGAGAGCCTGTGAACATAGGGATATATCTAACCCTCCTTTCTGAAATGCTTTCTCCCCCTAGTTACTTTTGCTCACTGCTATTAATTTTTTTTGAGATTTTTTTTGAGACAAATTTTCCTTTTTATAAACTGTTTCACCCACATATTTTGAATGTGTATCCAAACCAAAAGATGCACATGCAATACACACAGCAACATATCTAATTAGATTTTTATATGTATCATTAATAACTTATAGTAGAAATATAAGATATGATCAGTTGAACTAGTCAACATGTAGGGCAGTGTGTCTATTTGCCTTTAAAACCTGGATGTGTAAATTTAAAAGAAAAAAAGATATTGACTAAATGTGCCCAATGAGTAAATTAGCTTTTAACTAAAATATGGGCAGAAACGTCATTTTATGACCAACATGAAATGTTAAAAATAACATCAGTTTTTCTAAAGCACTCTAATTATGACTTACTGAGAAAATGAACCCAAATGATGGTTTAAAGCATAGAAAAAATAACTACAAGGGAAAAGAAAGTAAATCCTTCTCACCCAGGTACTATGCCCAGACTCACATCTTGAGCAAAGCCATACCCAGTGGAGCAATAGAAGTCTCTGAGCAAAGACAGACAAAAGGAAGCAACAACAAAAGCTCTGCACTGGTGGCATGACCCCCATGGTCTAGAGTCCATCTGCCCCAGTTGAGCTTCTCCAAGATCAAAGACAGAGCAAGGAGGCACCAGCCAGTCAGAGCTGGGCTTCTGCCCCCTCCCAGATCAATAGCCTCAACTTGCCCTCCAGCAGAGGAGGCAGTTCGTCCCATAGGTCACATTACAGCCAGTAAGGCACTGAGCAAACACAATATAAGAGTATACAGCTAAAAGAAACAAACGTAAGACACCTTAACAGACTAGGATCTTTACTCCCAGTTAAAAAAAAAAAAGAAAAACAACTGTAAGACTGAACAAAACCCCACAAAACACTCAAATAGCAAATCTGTGCTAAAATGGACTAATTCCCATTAAATCTCTGAAAAGGCATAGTAGGAAGGTGATTTTACTTCTGTGTACATCACTGATGATATTTGGAATTGTTGTCTTGTTCATACTGCAAAAAAAGACTATGAAAAGTTGGAAAGGATGCATAAAAAGCACCATAAAAATAAGTGAAAGGATGGAGAAAATTCTTACTGTGTGTAACTTAAAGAGCTCAGCACATTTAGTTTATCAAAAGGAACACTGAGAGGTGACTTGATTACGGTGTCTGAAGACCTCCACAGGGAGAAAATAGCAGGTACTGAAGAGCTCTTTCAGACTGCAAAGAAAAGCGTAACAAGGACAAATACGTAAAAGTCAAAGCCAGACAAACTCAGCTTAGAAACAATGACGGATTTTTCCTGACTGCTAAGGTGATTATTATTGGGAACAAATTACACACAGAAAGGAGTAATTTTTCCGTCTTTTCATGTCTCCAAATCAATGTCTGCTGCTTTGCAAAGGGTGTGCTTCAGTCGAATACAAGTTACTAGACTCAATACAGGAATATTTAAATGAAATGCAATGGCCTGTGATAAGCAGAGGTGAAGTAACTAATAGGTCTTCTGAATCATTACTTCCGTAGATCTTTAAAAACTTCCCCAAGGGTTTGGATAAAGAAAGTTTACTTTCACATATAGAAGAATTAGTTTGACCTTTTTTCCTTAAACAAAATCAGAAAAGTAGTAAAAAATAACTACGAGGATTTTATTAGCCTTGCAAAATCAAATACCTGAAAGTCTTTATATCTGGCATTTACTGTTCCTTGCAGCCTTCATTCATTTTTGTGTGTGTGACACTGTGACCCTATATACCATATTTTCCCGGTACCCTGTTCTCTTCTCCACACCCCCACACCCCCGCCTTCCAGCAGCGGAATAGGAAAGACCCTCTGTAAAAAAGAACGAGGTTTTTAGGTAACTTCAAAATTCAAATTTTTGAAGCTGCAACATAAAGCATGTTTTCTGTATATGTCATGCTTATGTTATACATGTAATGTCATCAGTTTTGATTTTTTGGACTATGCAACAAATGCACATATAAGAAAATTAATTTTCCTCACTACTGTTGATCCAACAGGAAGGATGTCTTGTCACCTCAGTATCAACACATACAACTTCCAATGTAAACAACTCAAAACTATGTATGGGAGTGAAAAGGTAGTGGGGAAAAGAAAAACCCACAGTGTTCCATTCCTCCCACAAAGCTCTGGGAAAGCTTTAGCTCATTTCAGGGGCACACATACACACAACAATCCCAGCCTTGATAACAGTGCCTGGTCTGCATCTAGTGCTTCCCCACAGCTCACCAGCCTGGCTGTCCCACCACCAGCTGGCCTTGCTCAAATCCACCCCAGTTCACAGACCACAGACGCCTCCTTGCACCACTCTCTCCGAGCCAGAATGAGCCCTATTCTGCCAGATTTTGAACAAGAAGGTGCAAGACCAAAAAATACTGTTCCAGTAAATACTTTATTACAGTTAGGCAATCAGTTCTCCCAGGCACTGCAGAGGGATCACATGTACTTAACTCAGGGATGAAGGGTGCACTGGTTACCTCAGCAATGCTAAATCCAAAGCACGTTCTACTGATGCAACCTTAAAACTCATTGATCCCACACAAGTAATGTAAAGAGCTTGATTACTTTCACCTGAAAGCACTGGCCTCTGTGTAAATGAGATGTTGGCCTTTAAAATTGCTAGGCAATATAGATTAAATCATACTTTCATTTAGGAGTTCATAATATTCAGAAATGCCTTTGAGAATCTGGACTCAATCATCCAAACTCCTTTCAATGTTTTTAATTAAACACCTAAAAATTATCATATGCCTGCATGCCTCTGAAGAAATGTGCTTGCAGGCTTAATCAAAAGTCCAGTTAAGATACTGGAGCGACTGCTGTTGCTGTCAGACACTTTGTAGTGGACCCTGATAGAACCTTGAGGAGGGATTTAAATGCTTTTCTACAACTCATTTGATTGCACCAAAATATAGGAGGCAATATTTTATGTGGTTTGGGATTTTCCCACCAAACCTTCCATTCACCCAAATGTGAACTTGAACAAGGTAAAAATGGTGATCAAATAAAGGAAATTTGTCTTCCTTTTCAAAATTAAAATTCTTGATCAAATATCTGAATTTCATTTAGGAAAAAAAAATACTGCTATCTGCCTTAATTAGTCTAGCAGAATAGACAGGAGAAACCTGAACTTAACTACAGCATAGATAGCACAGTGACAATTAATGACAAAGATTTTCTTAGTGCCTTTAAGATTTAACTTTCAAAGACAATTAAAATATTTACAAACTATTGTTGCATAAACTGTTTATGGAAAGTCTTGTGTCTAGAAAATGGTTTGTTAAATGCTGGGATTTCAAAACAAGATGACAGCTTTTCTAATACCACATAGATATAGAAGGTCCCTCTCAAATCAGGTGCGAGAATGTAATTTAAAGAGGCAGAAAAAATCTTTGATGACTTAAGCTATTTGGGGGATCTTGAGATTGCTTGTCAAGCTATAAGCAGGCCTCAGGTCCCTGAAACTTTAAATAACTGGAAAATACATGGAAATCCTGCAGAAAAATAGTCAAGATGAAAAATAAAACTTTGGACGTTTTGGGTTTTTTTGATGGATCTATGATGAGAGTTTTTAAGGAGCAAGATTTAAATTATGTCTACTTGCTTGTCAAAATTCACAAAATTATCACAACTTAGACTATGTCTACTTTCAAAAAGTTCTTTGGGACTGACTTTAGACTGACCCTTAGAAAATTTCTCCTATATCTCAGTTGATTCATTATTACTGTACTTTTCCTTTTAGAGCAGAATTTACTTTGTAGATTTTTTAAAGACAGTAAATAGGAAGAAATCACACCTCCAGACTAAGCTTATCAGTGACATCATGGTAACAGAGGAACTAAGCATGCTATTAAGAAGTTGGTGTGCTTTCAAGAAAATATCAAAATGCATTACTAAATCTGCTAGTGGAGCCCTTAAAGTTATTATCTTAAGCAGAAGAGAGGAGTGTGATTCTAAAGGACACCGTAACATTAGTAAAAGTAGCAAGAGCTGA